TATTTTCACCAGGAGGTGAGAGATTGAATGTTACCCATGTGTTATCTTTAGCAGTTCCAGGTTGTGATGGAATCTTTGCGTCAGAATATTTTCTATTAGTGTCACCAATTTGAACTGCATTGTCTATGATATCGAAATATGAGCGAATCTGATGAATATGCTCTGCTGGAGTAAATTCGTTTAACTGTTCGTTCTGCATGTCTTTACTTCAGATAAAAATATCTATTTACTTCATTATTCTCACTCTTCTTCTTGGCATTCGTGGTGGAAGTTGTTTCTTGACATTTTCAATGAACTGTACATTCTCTTTTGTCTCAACTTCTTTCACTGGCGGGTCAGGATTCTTTGACTCGGTTTGTTTTTCAATGAAATTCACGAACTTTGCAATAAGCTCTTGGTTCGTTATTGAAAGTACATCTGGCTTCTTTTCTTCTGGTTCTATTGGTGGCTCAGTTTGAACAGAAGGTTTTATATGGGCTTCGTGGACTTCACCCTTGCCATACACCTTAATGTTGTCGCTTTCTGCATTCGTTAATGGAACCTTTCTTTTTCTTACATATATTTTACCATCTTTACTCTGACTTACGTAATAGAAAGGATGTTGTATTCCTCTTGCGTCATTTAATATAATAGACTCTCGCTCTGATTTTGACAAGCTCATTTTACATCGGTTAAAGTTTTAATTTTGTTTTTTATCTGCAGTTAAATGACTCAGACAAGCCCTACGGACAAGACCCAAGGGGTCATAGATGTTGAAGCATTGAACAAAGAAATTCGTGAGCAAATTTTATCCGAACTGAAGGAACAAAAACAAGAACAAAAGCCAGAGAGACCAAAGAGAAAACTTAGTGAAAAACAACTTGCTGCATTAGCTGCTGGAAGACAAAAGAACCCACGTTTGCTGGCGAAGAAAGCTAGAGAAGAAGCTGAAGCAAAAGCTAAAGAAGCTGAAGCAAAGAAAGAGTAAATGGGTTATTTTTATCGGAACTAAATGTATAGACAAATACCTTTATCTGTTGCGTTCAGTAGTGAAAACCCTGACGTGAATATAAAAGGCAACAGAGTAACGTTTAAGTTTCCAACAGACTGGATTGTGAACATAAATGAAGAGAAGTACATTGGCATAACATCTATGTATATAACACGTCCTTTCAGAAAGGTTGACTTTATACTTCAAGTCGAGATAGAAAATGACGAACAGTCTTTAAGCGCCCAAAACATTCACATATACAAATACTTTAAAGACGATACAACATTGCAACAATGTATGATTTCATTTAATGAGATGTTCGAGAAAAAGTTCAACATTGAAGTACAAACTTTACAGCCTTTACGTGAGTTTCTTGCACAACTGAAAGAAGAAGGTAGTCGGCCACAACTTATAGACTTTCATTATGAATTTAATGAAAATGAAGATGGAACTCATGACTGTCAGTTTGTTATATATTCACCATTCAATGAAGTAGCTAAAAAGAAAGAAAATCCATTACGTATAAGATTTCAAATCTCTGAACCAAGTGATGATTTCAAAAATGTTTTCAATTATGATGCAATGCTTCCGAGGAAAAATGAATTTTCAAAGATTGTAACACCCGGCATTTGGGATAGAAAGCAAGCTATATTATATTCAAACTTAAGTAAGGGAGTTGAAAATGAGTTCATTGGTCATACAAGAACTTCACCACTTCCTAACCCTAAATACTATAAATTAACTGGCTTCAATCGTGAGTTTTGGATAGACATGTTCTCCACTCATGACCATAACTGCCCAGTGTTCTTACCTCCAGACCATAAGGACTGTCTCTACATTGAAGCACAACTCTTAAACTCTACCATCGCAGTATTGTAAAATCTACGCTAGTTTTATTTTTATCACGAATGACCTCATTGCTGACAAAAATAAATGACCTCATTGCTGACAAAAATAAATGACCTCATTCATGACCTCATTGCTGACCTCATTCATGACCTCATTGCTGACAAAAATAAATGACCTCAGAACTTCAACTTACGAATAAAGCTTGTTTTAGTCGTTATTGAGAAGTTAAACTTTTCCTCAAATGCAGGTGTAGCAGACTTACATAATTCAAATCCAATCTCTTGACCATCATGAAGTGCTTTGTAAAGTTTCATTAAACTGAACTCAGAGTCTTTGTCATATGTTCCAACAGGTATGTGAATGTTCTTATCTTCATTGTAATAGCATTGTATAGCTTCAGGAAACATTTCATTTGCTGTTAAAGCAAGGACGTCTTGTTTGACACCTTTGCAACGTGCATGGAATGCAACTTCATTTAAATCGTTAGTGAGTAAGTCTATGTAGGTCTTCTTTCCACAAAATATTGACTTGTATGCTAAACTTTGTTTTCCAGGTGTTATTTCTGCGAAGTCAGAATGAAATTGACCAAGTTTCTTTCCTATAAGTTCGCGACCGTATCTCTTCTTAAACTCTGCTGCGAGCTTTGGTATGTCTTCATTGAAAATATGCATGCTATCACAGTCCTGGTAAAATATTTGAAGTCCCATATCTTCTGCAGTACAGAATACTTCATTCATAATACGTTTTGACATAGATAGAATATTAACACCAAGTGGACAGAAGTTAAAGTGTCTGCAAATGCTTTTCGTTAGCTTGAAAATAGTTTTATCCGAACCATCCAAACCTTCGAACTTCACTATATGGTTGTAATTTCTGATGGCATATCTTATAGCATCTTTGTCATCTACTATGGTTATTTTTGACTCAATAGGTGATAGAATGGTTTTGCCATAAATGCTGTTCAGAATGAGCTTTATATTTTCTTGCAAAGGATTTCCTTCTTTCTTATACTTTAACCTTAACTCAAACAACTTCTTTACTTCATCTCTTATTCTAATATCTCTGTTTCCATCGTAATAGTATCCTTGCAACACTTCACATTTGACACCTTGATATTTTATGAGGTCTTGTAATGTTATATGGTCAACATACATTAAACAGCAAGTGTTTGAACTTCTGGGAACGTTAAGTTCTGGATTTAGTTCAGGGTCACAAACTATTAAAGGAAAGTGTCTATGTATGCCAATCTCTTTTATCTTAATGAGAACAAAGAAGCCAGACATAAACTTTTCACCAATGGGTTCCTTTTGGTCGTCATCGAATAAATGTCTCATGAGATACTCTGTGCTTAACATTTCTTTCTTCATAACCTTTGGAATACCTTCTAAAGTATAAAGTCTTGCTATAGCTGATGGATATAATGAAACAGCGTCGAAATCAGCAATGAGTTTCTCTTTACTCTTTTGTTTAATGTTATCTGACAACATACATCTTCCACCTTGAATGCATCTCGAAATAAATTCTCTTGGTTTATTTGAGAGGTCATATAAATTTCCATTCGGGAAGTACACTCTGTTCTCAAACAATTTGTTAGCAATAGAACAAATACTAACGTAGTCATAAACGTTTAAATCAAATTCTTTTAATATGTCATTGCGGAACTTAACAAAACCTTCTCTTAAAATTCTTACATCTTGTTTGCAATAAAATGAGCTATATTTTTCTAAATCGAAGTGGTTTTCATCTATTCTGCAGTTTTCGATTAAATCTATGTTTTTCATGAACGTATCCGCATCATGGATAAACTTACACGCTTCAGAAATGACGCCAGTTCTGTTGTCATTTGCTAACAAAACACTGCTGTAGTAGTTGTATGGAAATACTTCTTTCGGTCCTGTTTGTAAGTTAAACATAGCAGGAAATAGTTTAAGCTTCTTATTTATAACACTGTAAGAGTCTTTTATAATAATTGCCCTTCCTTTATATAAGCCAGTTATTTGCATTATTCGTGAACCTTTAATGATGGGAGTTCCTTTCACTTCTGTCATGTGTCTTAAGATGAAGTTTATATCATAACTGAGGTTATGGAAATATATTAAACTCTTGTCAGGAAGTCGCTCCAAAAATTCTGTTGCACAGTTCTGACCCCAAATGCTTTCACTCACTGAACCATCTTCACTGTCGTAACAAATGTTAAAGGCTTTATGAACTCCATCAGTGCTACACTCAAAGTCAGCAAAGAAAACATGCTCAGGAATGAACTTACATTTAGCTTTATTTACTTCTTTTGGCTCAGCTTTCATCTTCAGTTGTACACAATACTTTGGAGCATATGTCAAATCTTTAAATGGTGCAAGGTTCTGTTTATATAAGTCAGTCGTATATGTGAAAAGTTCTCCATAAGAAATAGGTTCGAAATATTTGCACTCCCACAATGTTTTCATAACATCCCATAACGGTGTTGTTCTATCATAACGAACTACATATTTGTTCTCTCTCTTTGTATAAATCTTCATCTGTTTCTCAATGTTCATTCCACCACACTCCTTCAAGATTTCTATATAGTTGCGAATGAAATATGTTGTCATTGGTAATCTTTCATTTAGCATGTAGTGGTCTTCAACAAGAAGTAAGTCAATAGTTCTAACAGTTTCACATTCTTTTGGTATGTATCTCTTTATTTCATTATGTCTTGAGTCATTGAAGTAACCAATGGTAACATTAAATGCTATACCTGTTGCGTCAGAAATTTCTTGTACTTTACTTTGAGGAAAGTCTCTAACACGAATGACTTCTCTCATGTGGTCAATAGTTTCTTCATTTATTCCAGCCTGAATGCAAGCATAAACGAAACAATTGTCCTCTGTCATAAGTGCTGCAGTTCTTTTGTTCAATTCATTGAAGATTTGGTAGCGTTCAAGATTTATAGGTAATGTGCAAAGATACTTCCAGAACTGACCGCTTCTCTTCTTATAAAACTTCTTTTCACCATTATCTTTCCAAAAGCTTTCTATAAGTGCTGGGTTTCCTGTTTGCTTAAGAGCTTCCAAAATGGCTTTCTGGTCATTTGTCAGTGTGCTTTCATCTCTATATGGTCTCTTTTTTGGCTTTCCTTTCTTTACATCTGACATCGTTAAGCCTTCATATTCTGTTAAATCATACATCTTTATTTCGGTAAGATTCTTTATGTTTGTCAAGAAGAAGTCATAGTGCATTTCAACAATACCTGCAGCATTTGCTTCTATCTCTGATATAAAGTTCTCCTTCAAGAGCTGATGTAGTAATGTTCCAATATTATTGAGGTTTAACGTAGAACATTCATACTTTCCACCAAGTTTATAACATACCACCCATCTCTGTTGGGAGTTTATTTTAATCTTCTCTAAGAGTCTCATGAAAACCTTACCGAAATGTTTGTGTAAGTAGTCTCTGTTTGGTTCATCTAAAGCTTCGATGTTAAAGTCAATGAGTCTATTGCCTGTCTTAACATTCCTCTTCCTATTCTCTTCATCTTTCTTTAACCATCTCTCACCTTCTTTTGGTTTGTCGTCAATGGAACGAAGGACATCGTTAGCTTTGCGAACTTGTTCTATAGCGCTCTTAAACATCTCTCTTCTCTGTTGTTTCAGTGTGTCGTCTCTTCTTCTTGTTTCACCAACGTTTGCATTTGTTATGTCAAACATTTCTCTTCTTACTTCATGAGGTACTGAACGTCTATGATATAAGTCAATAACAATGTCATTTAAAGGAAATGCTCTTGCATGGACTTCGTCCTCGCCGCGTTGCGGCTTTATGAACTCATGAATTTTATCATAACTTATTGCACCATTATAGTCATTGAGGATGTCAGCGAGTGCTTTTTTGTTTGTTGCTTAATGCTTTGCAACATCTATCTTAGCTTCTGTAAGAAGTTGTTTTATTTCCGAGTGTTCTAACTTAGACAACTTCCGATACATCTTTAGTAGGAAATAAAAAAAATATTTTTTGAAAAAATTAGATTAGATTTTTTAAGTTATTTTTCAAAATAATTTAATATTTTTATTTTAATGAAACACATGCAAGATTGCTATTGAACTAACTAGGAACTTATGAACATATATACCTTTTAGATGTGATGGTAAGTTTTGTCTGTCTTGGTACATCTTTTTAAGTTCTACATGTTCAAACTCACTGAGGAGTTCATGAGTGCTATTTAATTCAAACCATTCATTTGGTGTTTTATTCTCTGGAGCAAAACATGCTGTCAAAATACTCTGCATTTGGTACATGTCATCTTTGACTGAACGAATGAGTCTCAATTGTTTGTTATACTGTATGTATTCATATTCTTCATTGATGGCTTCATGAACGATAGCAGTTGTTGTGTTCTCTGATGTTGACATTACTGTCTTTACATACGAGATAAAAATTTTTGTTAGAAAAAATTAGTGTTATTTTTATCTTTTATGAAAATTCATGAAATTTGGTCATTTTTCAGCAAAAATAATTTTTAGGTGAAGAGGTGAGAGTTCACCTTTTTTTCACCTGTTTTTTCACAAGCGTTTTACATGAATTGTACGATGTATATTTGAAATCCTAAACAATTTCGTAGCTTCTATTTCTTCTTTTAGTACATCGAATGTTTTAATCATGCCGAAAGTCTCTTTATATTTCTTCTTGACGTCAGACAGAAGGAAATCTTCTGCTGTTGGATAGTTTTTATTAAGAAATGTCAACATATCCATTTTATCTTCTGCTGGCTTTTCTGCTTCTTTCTTTAAGTCTGCATAGTCGTTTCGCATTCTTTCTATCTCTTTGACTGAGTAGTTATATTTCCTCATTGCTGCTTTACATTTAGAACATTGCGGATTCATTTTTGCGTTATACATTGAAACATTACCAGCTAAAACAACTAAAGCGTCAATTGCTCTCTTCATCTCAAACATAGCGGGTCTTATCTGTTCATTCCATACGTTGCCTCTTCTATCTTCATCTCTTATCTGCCATACACATTTTGCAACTAATGTAACAAAGTTATCGTATGTCTTAAATTCTTCGGATTTGTAAAGGTCAGAAATATTTTTATAAACCATGTCGCAATCTTTGTCCATAACTTTATGGTTGCAATGATATCCTAGAAACTCATAATTTACCTTTCGTATGAACTTCTTTATTTCTACTGAGTCAGTTGGTTTCACTTCTATTTCATCGAATTCATGAATAGTGAGCTTTTGTTGTTGGTTTTCAGGCAATTTGGGTAAATGGTCAATAATGTCCTGCATGTCATAAAGATACTGTTCATTTTTTTCATTTTTCGCACTACAGTCTAAATTACTTGTTAACAGTTCTTGCTTTATCTTCTGGATTTCTGTTTCAAAAGTATATGAAGAAGGAATGAAGTTTTTCATCTCTACTAACATTGACGTAGGATTCATGACTAACGAGTTTGGTGCTGTTGTTGTGCCGATTGTTGTTGTGCCGATTGTTGAAATCATATCTTTTATACAAAATAAAAAAATAAATAAAAATAAAACTAACTTTATTTTTTCTATCTTAAGGAAATTCATGAATTTTCACGAGGGTGAAAAAAAGAGGTGAAAAAAAGGTGAACTCTCACCTCTTCACCTAAAAATTATTTTTGCTGAAAAATGACCAAATTTCATGAATTTTCACAAAAGACAAAAATAAACGCTTTACATGTATTTTTCAGCAACTTCGTCAAATAATTTTATAGCTTTATCTATCTCATCTACTTCAAACGTTTCTTTACCTTTTATGGGAGCACCATACATTTTCTCAAACTTTTCGAGTAGTTCTGTTTCTGCGGCTCTCATATCATTAACGAACACAACCTTGACTCTATTGACTGTAGAGTCATATCTTTGAGTTATATTATATGTTCTTCCTATCTTATATCTCTTTGTATTGAAGTCCTTCGGTTTCTGAACGATGTAAAGTAAGCCTTCACTGCAACGTTCTGAGTCGAATGAACCATAAGTTATGAAGTTATATCCAACAACAGGGTCAATCCACAGAAGAATTATTGGTATAAGACTTTTGTCAATGAGATATGCTGTAGTTCCATAGAATCTTACCGATATCATGAGCTCAGGATTTCTTGTCAAAATTTTCTGAGTAGAAGCAATTCTAACCCAGTCCTTTGTTTTCTTTCCAGAAGGTGTTATAATGTCTGACAAAGAATATTTGTTGTATTTCTTACAGTATCTTACGTTTAAATCACCAATTCTAACCACTTTGGTGTCATTGTCAATCTTTCTAACTGTTTCAAACTCAATGTTTGACATTACTGTCTTTACATATGAGATAAAAAAATAAATAAAAATAAAACTAACTTTATTTTTATCTTTTATGAAAATTCATGAAATTTGGTCATTTTTTCAGCAACAAAATGAAAAAGTTTAGAAGAATTTTCTTATTCTTTCTGGCTTATTTTTATCTTTCCAGTACTCCCGCTCTAATGGTCCCAGATGAGTTGGTTTAGATTCTCTCAAGTTCTTAGATGGTATAACATCTTCAACGCCTCCTTCATATCTTACTTTATAAGTGTCATCGTTTATGTTATAGCCAAGTATTTCAATAACCACTCCTCGCTTTGCTTCGTCAATGGTTTCAGCAAGTTTGCCATTACTACTTTCAACTAATTTATGACGAGGGTAAAACGCAATAGAGTCGTCAGCAGCTTTTATAAGATATCCATTACCTTGCGTAGAGTCTACGATATAATAGTTTCTACTTAACCTTAAACGTTTCTTTGTCAACGGTTTGTTGTCAAGAACTACACGAACTTTTGTACCAGGAATGAGGGTAAATTATGTTGAATTTCTGATATTTTGTGTTTGGCTTCGTTTCTTTTGTATATACTTTTCTTTTTGTTGTTGTGTCATTGAATTTGGTGTATGTCCTGTTGTAGAATGTGTTGAGGAATTATATACTTCGAGAAAATGTTTCATTGTTTCTTCGGTAAAGTCTCGCTCTTGGTTTAAATCTCTGAGCGTTCTTATGAAGCGGTTTATGATGCCGAGTATGTTATGGTTATGGTCTTCAGTAGTGTAGTGAGTTATGTTATGCTTAATGAGAAAATCTGTGATTTCATTGCTGAGGTATGCACCGTCTTGGTCTGATGTTAATGAAGTGGGATGATGTTCTGCCACGAACTTTTGTAAAACTCTTAACACTTCTTGAGTTCCTTTATTCCTCATTGGATATGCATATGCTTTGCGAGTGTTAACATTAATGAAGATGAGGAATGGTTTATGTCCTCCTTTTCTGCTTTGAATGAGAGTGTCAAATTGGTATGCGTCAGGAGCGTTGGAGTAAATTGGTAAAAAGTAGTCGTAAGGGTTTATTTTTGTTTGATGTACAACATTTTTGTCAAAGAACCTTTTCACTTCAGCTCTGTTAGTAAATCCCCAACTCTTTGCAGCTTCATTGAACTTCTTAAATGACCTCCATGGATGTTGTTCGAATACTTCTTTCAAGCTCATTTATGTAAAGTTAAAGATTTTATTCTAGGCTCAAGCGCGTTCATTGAACGCGGTACCATGCGAATATAGTCACAAATGGTGGCATATAATCTGCACCCGAGCCTGTTGGATTTGTTGTGAAAGTGTGTGAATGATTACCTCCCGGTTCAGTTGGTCGAAAAATCTTTTTTGCTGCATTGTTATAAGATGGAGATAAAACATCATTGCCATCTCTATATTCTGAGTTGTATAATGGGTGGTCTCTTAATGAGTGGCTATGGTCGCCAGAAAAGTTTGTTGTTCCTGTATGAGTGTGCGCAGGTAAGTTTGCTTCTTTAATTTTCTTCGAACCTCCTGTTTGCTTTGAATAGTTAGCACAGTATAAGAATTTATCTACAATCTGCTTCCACGTACCAAAACCTAAAACACTTGCTGGATTTGTTGAATTCATTGACGTATAAATAGAACCAACAGGATATATGGTTTGAAGAATCTGGGCCTTCATTGTTAGAAGTTCATGTTTAACGTTTATAGCTTTATTGCCTTCTACAATATTTATATTGTTTGTTATTAAACCATTAGGAAAAGTAGGAGGATAAATTCGTTGTTCTTGTACAGTTGCACCGTTTCTTCCTGTTTTTGTTACTATTTCGATGCATGCCTTAATTTCTTTAATCTTGATTGTTTGAAATTCTTCATGTGTATGGTTCTTGTCGGCTTTTCCATTAAGCGCAGCATTTACTTCCGACTTCTTTGCATAATTTTCATCTACATAAGTTTTGTCGGCTTTCTTATCTAACATTGCTGGTAGTTCATATGCTTCAAAGTTTCTGGCATGACCTTCAATGTTCATACATCTGTTATCTAAATTGTTAAGAGTATCTTTTACGCTTGTACTCGGATTCTCTAAAGGTGCACTTGAACCAAGGGTATAGTTCAATATTATGTCGTCTGCTCTAACAGTAGTGAAGGATTTATGTGTATGGTTCTTGTCAGCTTTACTATTTAATGTAGCTTGAAGTTCATTTATATCGGAGATATTGTGTTTATGAGATTTCAAAACTTTGTTCGTTGCGTCAAGTTCATCTTTGTCAGCTTTACTTTTAATAGCATCTTCAAAAGTTATTTTTGTCTTAACTCTCAAAGTAAATCTTGGTTCAACTAATACACCGTTAACAAAGAAGTATGAAGCATAAATTTCATCGTTATAACCAAATGCTTCTTGTGCTTTACCTGTGTCATACTGTACAGTACAACGTATGTCATAACCTTCAGCACGAATGTATTTATATCTTCTTTCATTAACATCTTCCGTCTTCACTTCTTCATCCTGTGTTAAATATCCATGGTAGTCCGTTATAATCTGTTCATCTGAACTTATATAATGAACATGGTTTTTATCTGCTTTTTCGGCTAATTTCTTTTCTATCTCATTTATTTCAAGTTCATGCCTACCACCACCTCCTTCAGAAGTATTTTTCTTCAGCTCTTGAAGAACATCCACTTCACCATCTTCGGTGTCAATAATGAGACTTTGTGTTAAAACCTTTCCTGTCTTAATGGATGTTTGTAAAACTTCTTCTTCACCGTGTTCGGGGTCATGGTCGTCATCATATCTTGTGAAATCAGAGATGTTGTCATACATTAAGCATATCTGTCTCAAAAGTTCTGCTATTTGAAACTGGAACGAAAGATATACAGACCTTTCATCATCTCCTAAAGTCAAGTCTGCTTTCTTAAGTATTTCTTGAATGTATGCAATGAGAACAGAGTACCTTGGAAAATATTCGAACAATATTTCATTAGCTGTTGGTTTTGGTGGTTCTTCTGGAGTTTCTGTTGTTTCAGTTCCTTCTGTTGGAGTTTTGTAAAGTGTCAAATTCACATATCAGGTGTAAGGAGGCTCGCAGTGCCTCCGTACACTTGATATGTATACTGAGTTCATACAGTCAGGAATGCAAAAGACTTCTGAGGAAATGGAAAGAATTATTGACAAACACCACTTACGTCAGTACTCAGGAGTTTACGATATGAAACGACTGACAAACTACATTCTATCAAAACTTTCAAAATACCCCTTCAAAAAATATCCTTCAAACACTCTGCTCGTTTGCGACGACTTCGCCGGAAAAGGTTTAGTTTCAAAGCCTGACTCACCATTAGCTAACATCATAACTAAAGTCAGACATTACCATTTAACTGTAGCAATACTTATGCAAACATGGAGGTTTTTAGCTTTAAACATAAAACGTCTCATAACTGACTTTGTTATCTTTCAAGGTTTCTCACGCTATGATATTGAACTCATTTGGAAACAGTCAGGTATAACATTACCTTTTGAAGAAATTTGGGAAGCATATAAGTCTCTCATCTCTCCTCGTTCATACCTTGAGATTCATATCATGACTAATACCATTAAAGTCAAAAATATTCCATGGGAACGACCAACATTGTTTTAAAGTTTAACCTTCAATTGACTGATGGTAAACAAATTCCATGCATCTCTGTCGCCATTTCTGTTAATATTTTTGCTGTCATTCATATCATCCACTTTCCCATCCGTTAGCTTTTGAGGATATGCGTTAGAATAGCTGTTCTTAAATGAAGGCTTTTCACCTTTGAGAGCATAAACTCTATAACTTTCTGCATACTTTATGTTTGAACCTTCTGAGCCATCATTGACATAAATTTTTATAGGTTTCCACCCTTTGTTCATATTCCTGCTTCTTCCCTTTGCTCTTTTGTTCAGTAGTTCTACATCTTTATACACAGCTCCTGTCTCAGTGAATTCAACAATATTTTCATTCGTTAGCTTTACATTCAAACCCTTGTCGAGTATATTGTTCATTTCATACATATAAAAGGTTTTTATTCTATATGAAATGAGAAGCAAATCCATCTTAGCTGGTGCCGTTAATGTTCCAATTGAACCAACATCAAATGTTGACTCACGAACGACAAACAATATTGTCATAAAGAATTATAGTTCAGAGTGTTTGAAAGAAAAAGAACCAGATCTTAAGTCGGTGAATTTAAACACAGCTTCAAACGCTAACGCTACATCAGATGTTAAGTTAGAGTATCCACCACTGGACCAAGTTCTTTCAAGAGAAGCCAACGACAACCCTTACACAAATGTTCAAACAAATCCTTCAGATAACGTAGACCATTACCTTCTTCAGTTATACCAAACTATCTTACTCAAAGACGATAAGAAGCTTTTGACAAATCTTATAAGCAAGAACCAAATAATTCTAACAAAGGAGGACCTTGAAAATGTTATATCACGAATAACAGGGAAACAATGTGTCATTGACTATCTCGACCCTGAAATCGAATGCTGTGGTCAAACGCCAATATTTATGAAAATAGGTAACATCCGCATCATTGAAACACCAGGAACTACAGGAGTTGAGTTTAAGTATAGATATTCGAACGAGTATACAAAACTATCTACTGACTATAAGCAGTCAGGACCTTCGGTCTTGGCGCTTTGCGCCGTCAGTCAAAAAAATTTCAAGTTAGCAATTTGTAATATCTATCCAAAACTTCTTCAACAGTATCGAACTCATCTTCATAATGCAAACCTAATCTTATTGACTTGGTGCAGTTTTCACTAACACAATATTTTTCTGTTCTCTTGACTGACATAACTAACTCATTTGTTTCATCAAACAGCAACAACCAAAGTTCATGACCTAATACATAACATTCATACTTTATATTTTTAGCTCTGAGTTCTCTTGTAAGCTGTTGCATTTAATATTATCTAAAAAGTCTACTTCAACAGTCATTCGCACTGGTGCCTTCAGTTCTACAGGCTCTCCTTGAAAGTCAACAAGTCTGAATTGCATGTCTTTCAAATTATGAGGACTAATGCGAACCCATTTACCTAAATGAGTTGCTATGACAGGAACGTTTGGAATGAACATTGAATTTACTTCATAACAGAAAGACTTATATTCTACTGAACCTTTACTATTAACTCCCGAAATACCTGTGACATTAGCTATTTTTGGCTCAATGTACAAACAGTTGCCATAACATACGTATGGAACAGATTTCATCTCAATCGTTTTGTCAACACTTTTCAAAGGAAATATCATATGGTATGCACCCAGAAGCAATTGAACTCTATGACTCATTCGTGTTATCTTAAACTTCTTCGCATAACTGAACTTCAATGTTCCCTCAGAAGAGAGTTCGACATCTATGTTGTCAATAGTTTCTTCATTTATGAGAGCATTTAACACTCCAGCAATTTTATCTATTCTATACCCAGCTCTGTTAGGAAATGTTATAACACTTCTTTTGTCATCTATTTCAATCTCTATGAAATCTGTTTCATCTGTTATGACAAAAGTTGCGATAGTATTGAAGTCAACAACTCTGAAAGCAAGCGCTTCATTCTGAAGACCTAAGTTTGTTTGTAGTTTTACTATTCCGTATTCGTTTGGGTCTGTACTTTGCAAATAGAACAACATTTTATTCTCATTAAAATATGACTATTGCTGCATATGCGTATGAAACAAATGAAGCAAGAAGAGCACATGAACTAGTAAATGAAAAACTCAACTTTAACAGTGGAAGGCAATGATTTAGTCATTGACGATGGAAAAACTAAAAAAAGTCATTGATTTCGATACTTTTAACACTTATGACCCATTCATTACAACAAGCAAGTTCCCATCATAAATGATGGAACGGTGCAATATATAAATTCTACAGTAGATGCCTCATTAGTGAAAGTATTAAATGTTCTCATTGAATTGTTAAAGAGCTTTCGATTTGACGACAACATTAAATGCTTAAAGAATTTAGTCATGAATGAGAAACAAATTCTCGGCGTTGCTGGTAGCAGTAATGATGTACACCTTATGACATTAGAATATTATAACGAACATAAAGATGAACTGAAAGAAGAGAAGGGTGACACTGGAGCTCAAGGACCACAAGGAATACAAGGAATACAAGGACCTCAAGGCGAAAACGGTTTGGATGGTGAAGATGGAAAGGATGGAAAAACTGCTAAATCATGGATATGGAACCTTATAAATACTGGTTTAACAGCTGCTTCATATGGAGTTCTTCAATACCAAATCGGAAAGATATGGGCAGTACTTGGTGAAGAAGCTTTAGATGACAAAAATGCTTTGAACTTCATTTCAAATGGTTCGGATACTATTAAAACTTTATCTGGTTGGATGCAAGAAACAAGGAGTCAAATAGATACTGTAAGACGTATAGCAAACAATGCACGTACGGGATTGGATACTTTACGAGAAGCACAAAATACACTAAAGGAAGCAAATGATATTCTTGGCTCAGTATCAGACATGCATGAAGATTGGCTTAAAGGTATTGACAAATCTTTAAAAATCACAGTCAGTCTATTGCTGACTACAAGAAAAGTATAGATTTTTTACATAGTGCTATGGACGTACATGATGGAAGCATAAGGAACTTACTTAATGCTAACAATAACTTACCAGGAACTATTAAAGCATTTATAAAGTCCTTTGTAAAACCTGGTGCTCTAACATTTAGGTCTTTGAGAGCAAGAGCATTGAAGTCAAGAGATGCAGAAACTCCAACAGAACCTACAGAAGGAACTGAAACAACAGAAACTCCAGAAGAACCACCAAAACCAACAGCTAATGAAATATTGTTCGAATATTTTCCAAGGTACTCTGTTCTCATTGCATACATTCAAGAAATACTTAAGAAAGCAGACTTGACTTTAGGAGATGATGAAAGTTCTGTATATCTTTCGTTCCAGTTTCAAATAGCAGAACTTTTGAGACAGATATGCTTAATGTATGACAACATCTCTGATTTCACAAGATATGATGACGACCATGACCCCGAACACGGTGAAGAAGAAGTTTTACAAACATCCATTAAGACAGGAAAAGTTTTAACACAAAGTCTCATTATTGACACCGAAGATGGTGAAGTGGATGTTCTTCAAGAGCTGAAGAAAAATACTTCTGAAGGAGGTGGTGGTAGGCATGAACTTGAAATAAATGAGATAGAAGAGAAATTAGCCGAAAAAGCAGATAAAAACCATGTTCATTATATAAGTTCAGACGAACAAATTATAACGGACTACCACGGATATTTAATACAGGATGAACAAATAAGCACTGAAGATGTTAATGAAAGAAGATATAAATTCATTCGTGCTAAAGGTTATGACATACACTGTACTGTACAGTATGACACAGGTAAAGCACCAGAAGCATTTGGTTATAACAATGAAATTTATGCTTCATACTTCTTTGTTAACGGTGTATTAGTTGAACCAAGATTTACATTGAGAGTTAAGACAAAAATAACTTTTGAAGATGCTATTAAAAGTAAAGCTGACAAAGATGAACTTGACGCAACGAACAAAGTTTTGAAATCTCATAAACACAATATCTCCGATATAAATGAACTTCAAGCTACATTAAATAGTAAAGCTGACAAGAACCATACACACGAATCCTTCACTACTGTTAGAGCAGACGACATAATATTGAACTATACCCTTGGTTCAAGTGCACCTTTAGAGAATCCAAGTACAAGCGTAAAAGATACACTAAACTCCTTAAATAACAAATGTATGAACATTGAAGGTCATGTCAGAAACTTTGAAACACATGAACTACCAGCAATGTTAGATAAAAAAGCAGATAAAGAACATACACATAACTCCTTCTCAACTGTTGCTATAGAAAGTATTGAAGGAACGGTTGGCGGAACTGGTGGGGATGCATTATATTATAAACCTCCTAACTTTCCACAAGGTTTAACATCGAATGAAAACATAACAACGACGAAAGAAATTAGCTGTAAAAATGTTTATGTCATGGATGATGAAAATAATGTTAAATTCACTGCTCAAGATTTATATGATAAGAAAGCAGACAAAACAGAGCTTCAAACATTAAAGACTGAAATACTTCAAACATTATATCCTATAGGTTCTATTTATACGTCAATGAACTCAACAAATCCCGCAACAGTTCTGGGTTTTGGTACATGGCAGCAGATTGTAGACAAATTCTTATACTGTGCTAACTCTTCAAAGCAAACAGGAGGTTCGAAGAAAATTACTGAAGCAAACTTACCTGCGCACACTCATACAGGAACTACAAACTTTTCTGGCGACCATAGCCACTCATTAAGAGACCACCCATTATACAACTCAGACTATGAAGCTGGCAATGATGTTTTATCTCCATCTTATAACAATTCAGCAAAAAAGACTTTTCGACCAACTGAACCAGGAGGAAATCATGTCCATACTTTCACAACAAATCCAACAGGCTCGGGTGAAGATTATATGCCACCATTTATGACTGTATTCGCATGGTACCGTACAGCTTAAAATCTTTATTTTTACATAAATGAGCTTGAAAGAAGTATTCGAACAACATCCATGGAGGTCATTTAAGAAGTTCAATGAAGCTGCAAAGAGTTGAGGATTTACTAACAGAGCTGAAGTTAAAAAGTTCTTTGACAAAAATGTTGTACATCAAACAAAAATAAACCCTTACGACTACTTTTTACCAATTTACTCCAACACTCCTGACGCATACCAATTTGACACTCTCATTCAAAGCAGAAAAGGAGGACATAAACCATTCCTCATCTTCATAAATGTTAACACTCGTAAAGCATATGCATATCCAATGAGGAATAAAGGAACTCGTGAAGTGTTAAGAGTTTTACAAAAGTTTGTAGCAGAACATAACCCAAGTACTTTAACATCAGACCAAGACGGTGCATACCTCAGCAATGAAATCACAGATTTTCTCATTAAGCATAACATAACTCACTACACTACTGAAGACCATAACCATAACATACTCGGCATCATAAACCGCTTCATAAGAACGCTCAGAGATTTAAATCAAGAGCGAGACTTTACCGAAGAAACAATGAAACATTTTCTCGAAGTATATAATTCCTCAACACATTCTACAACAGGACATACACCAAATTCAATGACACAACAACAAGAAGAAAAGTATATACAAAAGAAACGAAGCCAAACACAAAATATCAGAAATTCAACACAATTTACCCTCATTCCTGGTACAAAAGTTCGTGTAGTTCTTGACAACAAACCGTTGACAAAGAAACGTTTAAGGTTAAGTAGAAATTATTATATCGTAGACTCTACGCAAGGTAATGGATATCTTATAAAAGCTGCTGACGACTCTATTGCGTTTTACCCTCGTCATAAATTAGTTGAAAGTAGTAATGGCAAACTTGCTGAAACCATTGACGAAGCAAAGCGAGGAGTGGTTATTGAAATACTTGGCTATAACATAAACGATGACACTTATAAAGTAAGATATGAAGGAGGCGTTGAAGATGTTATACCATCTAAGAACTTGAGAGAATCTAAACCAACTCATCTGGGACCATTAGAGCGGGAGTACTGGAAAGATAAAAATAAGCCAGAAAGAATAAGAAAATTCTTCTAAACTTTTTCATTAGATGTAAATCAGACATGAACGAGAACAGTCATGATATCATTAATGGTACCATTTATTTTAACATTAAGACGCAAAGCGGCGGGGCATAGCCCATGAACAAAAATAATGTTTAGGGTAGATGGTTAGATCTAACCTCATTTCTACCCTCATTTCTACCCTCAGCCGCTAAGCGGCGAGACCCAAAGGTCTTGAATTTTCATGAATTTCCTTAAGACAGAAAAAATAAAGTTAGTTTTATTTTTATTTATTTTTTTATTTTGTATGTAAGAACAGAAATGTCAGTCGAAGCAAAAACATTCACTAACAAATATAATGGCGAAACATTCACAAAAGGCACTTATAACGGTATTGAAGTCTTACGTAGAGACAAGGATGGTTACATTAATGCAACAAAGATGTGTCAGCAGTTTAGGAAAGACTTTAGAAAGTTGTTGGAAAATAAGTCCTGGGAAGAGTATTATAAGGCGTTTTGTGAAGAATATAGCAACAGTCCGAATTCCGGCGGTTGCTTTTTATACAAAATTCATGCAGGAATTCCTGATGAAATCAAACCGGTTAGAGGAACGTATGTAGACCCAAGACTTATAAACTATATAGCAATGTGGGCTTCTCCAAAATATTGCATAGCAGTTGGAAAAATTATGGACTCCATAGACAAGAAAGTTCATGAGAAGTTAGATGAAGAAGAATTCGAAGATACAGTAGAGAATGCAAAACATTTGTTTGAAGAAGAAGTTAGAAAAATGCATGAAAAACAATTAGAACATGAACGTGAGATATGTTATGGTTATAGAGATTCTCCATACGAACTAGACCAATGGGAACAAGAAGATTTAAAGAGAGAATTTAGCGAATATGAACTCGCTAAGATAGCATTAGAAGCTGCAGAAAAGAAGTTAAAAGTTTGGGGTCGTTTTGTACAAAAATATTGTGAGTAAATGAACCATTTATTTTTATTGAATTCACCAAAAATAATGTTTAGGGTAGATGGTTAGATCTAACCTCATTTCTACCCTCATTTCTACCCTCTTGAATTTTCATGAATTTCCTTAAGACAGAAAAAATAAAGTTAGTTTTATTTTTATTTATTTTTTTATTTTGTATAAAAGATATGATTTCAACAATCGGCACAACAACAATTCAAACAACAACAGCACCAAACTCGTTAGTCATGAATCCAACATCTATGTTAGTAGAGATGAAAAGCTTCATTCCTTCTTCATTTACTTTCGAAACAGAAATACAAAGAATAAAGCAAGAACTTTTAACAAGTAATTTAGACTGTACCGCACAGGATGAAGAAAATGAAGAATATCTTTATGACATGCAGGACATTATTGACCATTTACCCAAATTGCCTGAAATCCAACAACAAAAGCTCACTATTCCTGAATTCGATGAAATAGAAGTGAAACCAACTGACTCAGTAGAAATAAAGAAGTTCATACGAAAGGTAAATTATGAGTTTCTAGGATATCATTGCAACCATAAAGTTATGGACAAAGATTGCGACATGGTATATAAGAACATCTCTGACATATATAAATCTGGGGAGTTTAAGACATACGACAACTTTGTTTCATTAGTTGCAAAATGTGTATGGCAGATAAGAGATAAAGATAGAAGAGGTAAGGTATGGAATGAACAGATAAAACCAACTGCTTCAGATTTAAAGAAAACCATTGACGCCTTAGTTGTTTTAGCAGGTAAGGTTTCAGAATATAACGCAAAAATGAATCCGCAATGTTCTAAATGTAAAGCAGCAATTAGGAAATATAACTATTCAGTAAAACAGATAGAACGTATGAGAAACGACTATGCAGATTTAAAGAGGGAGGCAGAGAAACCAGCAGAAGATAAAATGGACATGTTAGAATTTCTGAACAAAAACTATCCAACTGCTGACGATTTCCTTCTATCTGATGTCAAGAAGAAGTATAAAGAAACTTTCGGTATCGTTAAAATTTTTGATATCCTCAGCGAAGAAATAGAAGCTACAAAACTGTTTAGAGTCTCACGAATTCATAACGTTTACCATGTAAAACGGTTATAAAATAACTGGGGTAGAAATGAGGGTAGATATCGGGTTAGATCTAACCATCTACCCTAAACATTATTTTTATTGAATTCAGCAACAAAATTCTGAGTAAAATAATTTTTAGGGCACGTGTCAAACCGTTGAGTTTTCACAAAATTTAAAAAATAACGTTTACCATGTAAAACGGTTATAAATAATGAGGGTAGAAATGAGTGTAGAAATGAGGTTAGATCTAACCATCTACCCTAAAAATTATTTTTGCTGAATTCAGCACAAAAATAATGAATTTCATTAGTTAGAAAAATAAAGTTAGTTTTATTTTTATTTATTTTTTTATTTTGTATGTAAAGACAGTAATGTCAACATCAGAGAACACAACAACAGTTATAGTCCATGAAGCTATAAATGAAGAATACGAGTACATACAGTATAACAAACAGTTACGTCTCATTCGTTCGGTCAAAGACGATATGTACCAAATGCAAAGTATAATGAATGCTCTTCGTTCTACAAAGCAAGCATATCATTGGTTTGAAAACCAACAGACAAAAGAACTTTTAGAAGAATTTCCTCATATGATTGCTTCCCTCGGAAAACCGAGAGAAGAGATTCCGTACGAAAATCGCAAGAATTTGGCTCCTGGTTTGAAAGGTTATTATATTCATAGACTTTTAGTAAATGCTGTAGCAATGTGGGCTTCACCTCGTTATGCTTGTTATATTTTCATGATGTTAGATGAACTATATAAAGCAGAACGTGAAGAGATGGAAAACAAGCTTGAAGCAAAAGACAAAAGCATTCAGAAAAGAATACCACGTTCGGTACCAAAAGGAAAGGAAAAGAACTATAAGTATATGATTTATACTGAAGAGTTGGAGAAAGAAGAAGACAGTGACATGGTTATGTTGCATTTAGTCAGAAGAAACAATAAAAGCTTTTACGACCTTGCTAAGATTTACAAATCTGACAGAAATTGGTTCTATCGCGAAAACTTACCGATTTCAATGACTCAGAATGAAGATGTGAAACAAATAGTTCAAGATACGTTACCTCAAACACACTATGACATCAAAGGTTGCACAATACTTACATTCAAAGAAGGCTTAACATTACTGAAGGAAAAAATAACAGAATATTTCGATAACTTCAAAGAGGAAGAATAAAAAAATCTACGCTAATTTTATTTTTTTATAAATTTTATCTCATATGAAAGAACATGAATTTAGAATATTCGGAACTCATGACAGAAGAAGAGAACGAACAACATGTAAAAGATTATGCAAAATTTCTGAAGATATACAAAGCATTTAAACAATATCTAAATGCTTCTAAAGATTATGCAAAATTTCTGAAGGTATATAAAGCTTATGAAAAAGCGTATGAAAAGTTTATACATTGGGGAATTGTTGTAAAATATTGATATGAAGACTAACCAAAAATATATTTTTGCTTAAATAACGTCAGGGTCAATTTCTTCAACCATTTCACTTCCTTCGTCAATGTCAATAGAAGCTTCTTCAACCTTTGGTAAGAATTTCTGTATAACATCTTTGTTCGTTATTGTCTTCAGAGATGAAGGATAATATTTCACATTTGTTTCACCTTTCTTATATTCTTTCTGTTCGGAAAGATTTAAAGCAATACTGAAGAAGTCAATGTTAGAGTTCTTTATGACAGTATAATGAGTATCTTTGACATTCACGAAGAAACTCTTTTGTTTCAAAACTACTGCTAACTCTTGTGAAGTATAACGTTTGCGGTCAATGACGATAGCTAATGGTCTGACATACTGACCAAACTTAGATTCTTTCACAAACTTCTTGTTAAAGATAACATTAACGTTTGCAGCACCATTGAACTCATTCTTGATGGCAGTAGCGAGAGCATTGTATGAAAAGAACTTGCAATCTTGCATGTGTTTCATTAAAATAAAAATATTAAATTATTTTGAAAAATAACTTTAAAAAATCTAATCTAATTTTTTCAAAAAATATTTTTTTATTTCCTACTAAAGATGTATCGGAAGTTGTCTAAGTTAGAACACTCGGAAATAAAACAACTTCTTACAGAAGCTAATATAGATGTTGCAAAGCATTACGCAACAAACAAAAAAGCACTCGCTGATATCCTCAATGACTATAATGGTGCAATAAGTTATGATAGAATTCATGAGTTCATAAAGCCGCAACGCGGCGAGGACGAAGTCCATGCAAGAGCATTTCCTTTAAATGACGTTGCTATTGACTTATATCATAGACGTTCAGTACCTCATGAAGTAAGAAGAGAAATGTTTGACATAACAAATGCGAACGTTGGTCATACTCGTAAAGCTCTTTCTCATGACGTTCGTCAAGAGATGTTTGAACTTACGAACTCAAACGTTGGTGAAACAAGAAGAAGAGACGACACACTGAAACAACAGAGAAGAGAGATGTTTAAAAGTGCTATAGAACAAGTTCGCAAAGCTAACGATGTCATTCGTTCCATTGACGACAAACCAAAAGAAGGTGAGAGATGGTTAAAGAAAGATGAAGAGAATAGGAAGAGAAATGTGAAGTCAGGCAATAGACTCATTGACTTTAACATCGAAGCTTTAGATGAACCAAACAGAGACTACTTACACAAACATTTCGGTAAGGTTTTCATGAGACTCTTAGAGAAAATTAAAATAAACTCACAACAGAGATGGATGGTATGTTATAAACTTGGTGGAAAGTATGAATGTTCTACGTTAAACCTCAATAATATTGGAACATTACTACATCAGCTCTTGAAGGAGAACTTTATATCAGAGATAGAAGCAAATGCTGCAGGTATTGTTGAAATGCACTATGACTTCTTCTTGACAAACATAAAGAATCTTACTGAAATAAAGATGTATGATTTAACAGAATATGAAGGCTTAACGATGTCAGATGTAAAGAAAGGCAAACCAAAAAAGAGACCATATAGAGATGAAAGCACACTGACAAATGACCAGAAAGCCATTTTGGAAGCTCTTAAGCAAACAGGAAACCCAGCACTTATAGAAAGCTTTTGGAAAGATAATGGTGAAAAGAAGTTTTATAAGAAGAGAAGCGGTCAGTTCTGGAAGTATCTTTGCACATTACCTATAAATCTTGAGCGCTACCAAATCTTCAATGAATTGAACAAAAGAACTGCAGCACTTATGACAGAAGACAATTGTTTTCGTTTATGCTTGCATTCAGGCTGGAGTAGATGGAGACTATTGACCACATGAGAGAAGTCATTCGTGTTAGAGACTTTCCTCAAAGTAAAGTACAAGAAATTTCTGACGCAACAGGTATAGCATTTAATGTTACCATTGGTTATTTCAATGACTCAAGACATAATGAAATAAAGAGATACATACCAAAAGAATGTAAAACTGTTCGAACTATTGACTTACTTCTTGTTGAAGACCACTACATGCTAAATGAAAGATTACCAATGACAACATATTTCATTCGCAACTATATAGAAATCTTGAAGGAGTGTGGTGGAATGAACATTGAGAAACAGATGAAGATTTATACAAAGAGAGAGAAAAATATGTAGTTCGTTATGATAGAACAACACCGTTATGGGATGTTATGAAAACATTGTGGGAGTGCAAATATTTCGAACCTATTTCTTATGGAGAACTTTTCACATATACGACTGACTTATATAAACAGAACCTTGCACCATTTAAAGATTTGACATATGCTCCAAAGTATTGTGTACAACTGAAGAAGAAAGCCGAGTCAAAAGAAGTAAATAAAAATAAGTGCAAGTTCATTCCTGAGCACGTTTTCTTTGCTGACTTTGAGTGCAGTACGATGGCTTTCATAAAGCTTTTAACATATGTTATGACAGTGAAGATGGTTCAGTGAGTGAAAGCATTTGGGGTCAGAACTGTGCAACAGAATTTTTGGAGCGACTTCCTGACAAGAGTTTAATATATTTCCATAACCTCAGTTATGATATAAACTTCATCTTAAGACACATGACAGAAGTGAAAGGAACTCCCATCATTAAAGGTTCACGAACAATGCAAATAACTGGCTTATATAAAGGAAGGGCAATTATTATAAAAGACTCTTACAGTGTTATAAATAAGAAGCTTAAACTATTTCCTGCTATGTTTAACTTACAAACAGGACCGAAAGAAGTATTTCCATACAACTACTACAGCAGTGTTTTGTTAGCAAATGACAACAGAACTGGTGTCATTTCTGAAGCATGTAAGTTTATCCGGATGCGGATACGTTCATGAAAAACATAGATTCCATCAAAGGTTGCAGAATAGATGAAAACCACTTCGACTTAGAAAAGTATAGCACATTTTATTGCAAACAAGATGTAAGAATTTTAAGAGAAGGTTTTGTTAAGTTCCGCAATGACATATTAAAGAATTTGATTTAAACGTTTATGACTACGTTAGTATTTGTTCAATTGCTAACAAATTATTTGAGAACAGAGTGTACTTCCCGAATGGAAATTTATATGACCTCTCAAATAAACCAAGAGAATTTATTTCGAGATGCATTCAAGGTGGAAGATGTATGTTGTCAGATAACATGAAACAAAAGAGTAAAAGAAACTCATTGCTGATTTCGACGCTGTTTCATTATATCCATCAGCTATAGCAAGACTTTATACTTTAGAAGGTATTCCAAAGGTTATGAAGAAAGAAATGTTAAGCACAGAGTATCTCATGAGACATTTATTCGATGACGACCAAAAGGAACCCATTGGTGAAAAGTTTATGTCTGGCTTCTTTGTTCTCATTAAGATAACAGAGATTGGAATACATAGACACTTTCCTTTAATAGTTTGTGACCCTGAACTAAATCCAGAACTTAACGTTCCCAGAAGTTCAAACACTTGCTGTTTAATGTATGTTGACCATATAACATTACAAGACCTCATAAAATATCAAGGTGTCAAATGTGAAGTGTTGCAAGGATACTATTACGATGGAAACAGAGATATTAGAATAAGAGATGAAGTAAAGAAGTTGTTTGAGTTAAGGTTAAAGTATAAGAAAGAAGGAAATCCTTTGCAAGAAAATATAAAGCTCATTCTGAACAGTATTTATGGCAAAACTATTCTATCTCCTATTGAGTCAAAAATAACCATAGTAAATGACAAAGATGCTATAAGATATGCCATCAGAAATACAACCATATAGTGAAGTTCGAAGGTTTGGATGGTTCAGATAAAACTATTTTCAAGCTAACGAAAAGCATTTGCAGACACTTTAACTTCTGTCCACTTGGTGTTAATATTCTATCTATGTCAAGAAATATTATGAATGAAGTATTCTGTACTGCAGAAGATATGGGACTTCAAATATTTTACCAGGACTGTGATAGCATGCATATTTTCAATGAAGACATACCAAAGCTTGCAGCAGAGTTTAAGAAGAGATACGGTCGCGAACTTATAGGAAAGAACCTTGGTCAATTTCATTCTGACTTCGCAGAAATAACACCTGGAAAACAAAGTTTAGCATACAAGTCAATATTTTGTGGAAAGAAGACCTACATAGACTTACTCATAACGAATTTAAATGAAGTTGCATTCCATGCACGTTGCAAAGGTGTCAAACAAGACGTCCTTGCTTTAACAGCAAATGAAATGTTTCCTGAAGCTATACAATGCTATTACAATGAAGATAAGAACATTCACATACCTGTTGGAACATATGACAAAGACTCTGAGTTCAGTTTAATGAAACTTTACAAAGCACTTTATGACGGTCAAGAGATTGGATTTGACTTATGTAAGTCTGCTACACCTGCTTTGAGGAAAAGTTTAACTTCTCAATAACGACTAAAACAAGCTTTTTTCGTAAGTTGAAGTTCTGAGGTCATTTATTTTTGTCAGCAATGAGGTCATTCGTGATAAAAATAATGAGGTCATATATTTTTGTCATTTATGTATAACCATTGTCTCTCTTAAACTTTGCAATAGACAGCTTTGTTCTTCTTCCTTCTACATCTGTAATGTTTATATAATCTTTGTTATACTGTCTTAAGACATTCATTCGTCTGTATTGAGTTCCCATGAAATAGTAAAAGGCATCTTCACTTGGGACATAGTAGTAGTTCTCTAACGTGTGATATGAGTATTGTATAATTTCAACAGCGTCTTCAGGAAGAGAGTCAACAATGTCAAACCAATAGCCATTTGAACCAGAAATATTTCTCATGTTTTCTCTTCTTGTCGTCCATCTTAAGTTCGAGATATGAAAGTCTCCTCTGTCTCTGTTTATATGGTCTACTTCACGAAGTCCTTCAGGGTTCGGAATGAAAGTTTCTGCAACTATTCTGTGTTTCATCAGCTTGTGTTTGTTTAAATTTACACAAATATAACCATCTCCTTGGTCAAACTCACTAACAACTCTTTTATTGCTTATACGTCTAATTGGATAAGGGTACTCTGAAAAGATTTCATAGTCATTGTCATGTTCGAGTGTTTGCCAATGTCCTTCACCTTCCATGCCTTTCACTCAAATAAAAATTTTCAGAAAAAATAAAACTAGCGTAGATTTTACAATACAGCTATTGTAGAGTTTAAGAGTTGTGCTTCAATGTAGAGACAGTCCTTATGGTCTGGAGGTAAGAACACTGGGCAGTTATGGTCATGAGTGGAGAACATGTCTATCCAAAACTCACGATTGAAGCCAGTTAATTTATAGTATTTAGGGTTAGGAAGTGGTGAAGTTCTTGTATGACCAATGAACTC